TGTTCATGCATTGTCTGGTTCCACGTCGGCAGCCAAGTGGGCCTTCCGGTCCAATTTTGGTAGGCGCGAAATGATGCCTACCGACGTCGCACGTGGCCTGCGGAGCCAAGCGTCCTCAATTCCCTTGCATCGCATCGCGAAGAGGTCACGTATGCACGTCGGCAGCAGGCGCAGTTCGCCGACGCGCCAACCATCTGCAGCAGCTGCCATCTGACGGACTTGCTTCTGTCGCGCACTGGCGATGCTCGATATAAGACCTCCCATGCTTTGGGTTTGGCCATGTTGAAAATCTTCTCCCAGAGTAATTCAACCTGCTTCAGAATATCGCTGCGTTTCGTACAAATACAATTTGGATCATCGCAACCCTTGACGGCGTGGATAGTCTGTTACTGTCTCTGCTTGACCCAAGCGTAAACTTCTCGGCCACCAGAGTGCCGAAGAGACTCGCGCAGCTTCTTTCTCCAGTTGCCTTCCTTGCAAGTATCGTTTCCCTCACGTGCTTGGCGTGTTCGGTTTCCAAAGAAATGATCCAGGTACCAATTGCCTCCAGGGTAAGTCGGCCATGAGGAAGGTCGCTGTCAGGACGGTGTTATTATCGTTGCAATTGCTTCCGGAGGATGCGCCACTGGTGCAGCGCCTTCATTTTGCTTTGAAGATCGTTCTGCCCACGATAAAGCTGGAGGCTAAGTTCAGCAACTCGGCTGATGACACTCTCGAGGCGTCTCAAGGTCGTCGCGGTGGGGCCTTCCTTCAACTGACCTTTTCCATCAGGTGGGGCAGTGGCTTACCATTGTGCGAGTTCGGGTTCTTGAATACGGCCATGATACGCAGCGCCAAACTTGATCCCCGTGTGCTGCAGCCGTTTCCCAAGGCACGATTCTCCAATTTTGCAGAAAAGGCCTCAGGCATCATCTGGTCGTTCGTCGACACGGGCTTGCTCGAAGGTGTCGAAATGTTCGTCGATGCACTTTCTGCCCAGGGCCTCATTCTCATCCGGTGTGATCTTCTTGACGCCCTCTACTGGATAAGCCCGCGGTATTCGTAGACTCTGCCAGCTGCCAGTAATGGCATCAACATTAATTACCAATTCCAAACCAAGATGACTTTTGATTCCCGAAACTCGGCGCCGACGAAAAGATTTGATCGCATCCCTGGCTGCAGCATTGGCAATCATAAGGTCGGGTCGACTGACGTGCGTGCATTGACAGAACTTGTCCCGCGTCGGGTCCAAGCCGTAGGTTGGTTCTGACCCAAACATAGCGCTCACGTCGTGCCACCTTCCCGTCGCGAGGGTGGCGGACAACGCTGAAGACTGTGCCGCCGTAGTGTTTGCGTTCATGCGCACGATGATGGCCTGGTCGCCTAAGCCCTCAGCATCCTCGAACGTGTAGTGGCAATTTCTGTCATTCCGTGTCCTGATCATGTTGTCATAGCCGGCCTCAATGTAGAGGTTGATGAAGTGAACCGGGCGAAATCCAAAGAGAGCGACCACCCGCAACCAGCGCGTAGTTGCATACATCTCCTTAGCAGCGCCGCACTTCCTTCCGCCAGGCAGCGTCACAATACTCTTTTTGGTAATCGTAACTACACCGCCCTGCGCTGTGCGATGCTGCTTTGATCCATGACATTTCTGCGGGCGTACAGGGTGCCCGAAAATAATGTCATATCCGTTGGCGTGGCAGACCTTCGCACTGCCCAGTTGCTGTTTGAAACATAACCTCGTTTCTTGCAAGAAAGTAGGTCAGCTTTCATCGTGTCCGTGCGACCGACGAATGAATTCCAAGACGTGACACTTGCTGAAAGAATCGTTGCCAAGATAGGTGTCTTGTTCAGCTCCGTTCCGGTTCTCGTTCTCGCTCAACTCCGTGTCCCTCGCGACCTGCAGGAACATGCTATGTCAACAACGTAAGGAGGAGGCTGGTCAAGAGCATCAAGACGAGGAGCACAATCCGCATGGCGACTATGATCCCCCGCATGATCGCGGTAGACTCAAGGACGCTACGCAGAACCCGCGCGATACGTACCGAGCGCGTGAGCCGTGCGAGCTTCACTATCCGCATGCGGTCCGTTGGGTAAGCAGCCGAACCGCCGCCGCGAGACATCGCAGAAACAACCAACACAACCGACGTCTCGAACACCATCATTGCAATAATAGTTGAGTCGAATACGGACCAGAAATCGCCAATGCACTGAACTTTACGTCTGAATGCGAAGAGCCGGACGAGCCACTCCCACAGGGAGGCGATTCAGAACAGGTTGTCCTCCAGCTGGAAGCCCAAATCGGCCTCGTACAGCACCTCCACGTCATGGTAGTCGGTTTCAATATCTATCCAGACTACGTTCAATAACACTACGATCACCTGCGCGGCAATGAAGGCAGGGTGCCGCGCAAGCCACTAGTCCGCAACCACGGTGTGGTCCAAGTCCGCAGCTTCGCACTCGCCATCCCGGGCCACCCTCTCGGCGGCATCCCCGAGAACCTTCGCGTCGGCAAAGGCGTTCGCCCTCGTCTTCCGATCCCCCCTGTCCGGGAGCAGAAACCTGGTGGCCCGCGTCACACCTTGTGCTTCGCTCTTGCGCAACCTCCCTGCTGACAGCGTCCTTGCCGTGGTTGCAGTCGCCAACGATACCCCTCCTGTGACCGACTGCGTCAAGGGGACGCTGGACACCGTACGAGGCACTTTTCTGCGGGCGGACCCTCGGGCTCTCTGGTTTTCCGTCGAGGTCGTCCTCCGACGCTGGAGACGCCAGCGCGGCAGCCCGTGGGTGGGGGGATACCCGTGCGGCGGCACTTGGCCGCAGCTGCGAGCCCGTGGCCATGCCCTCGTGTTGCCACGCGATGATCGGCGACCGCTTCGCGGCCTCGGGCTGCGCGGCCGCGCCGCCAAATGGCCCGCGCCTTCTGCGGCGTCGGCGGCCTCGCGGCCAGGGCGAGCTCGTCCTCGTAGGCCCGGGGGCTCGCCGCCTGGGGGCCCGGCGAGCCCGTCAGCGGCGGGGGCATCTGCAGCGTGGGCGGGGCGCCGTGGCGGCACAGGGCGTGGGGCGCCCTCGCGCGCCTGTCGGAGGAGCCCTGACCTCCGCGCGCACCCCTCCGAGAGCGAGGCCCGCAGCTCCGCAGAGCTCGCGCTCAGCGCCTCGAGGCCGTGGGGCCTTCGCGGTCCGCGTGCTCCGCCGCGGCACCTCGGCCTCGAGTGGGTCCCGGCGGCCCTGGGTCCCGGCACGGCGCGGGATTCGACTGCGGCATGGCTCTGGGGGGGGGGGGGCGCGAGGCTCACCCCGAGGCGCCGCGCTCTCTGGGAGGCGGCGGCTCTCGAGCGTCGGGCCAGACTCGAACCACAGCGGCCACGGAGGAGGAGGCGGGGAAGGGCGGGAAGTGTCGGTGTGGAGAGTGGAACGGTGGAGTAAGTGTTGGTCTGTGTTGCTTTGTCCTCAGGCTATCTTGGTGCATTCGGGCCTGGGTCTTATTTGTTGTTTGGTGTTCCTTGTGGCTTGATCGTCTTCCACCATCCGCATAAAGAATAGATTTGCGATTCGCCCACAAAGCGGAATCGACTGTATCTAGTGGCCTTCGGCCCATCACGCCATCGTGCCTGGGTTGTGGCTTAGACGCCTCTTGGATGTTCGTTTCGATATCGTGGGCGGCCTCTCAGGGGCCTCTTGGAAACAGTTTTGAGGCCTCTTGAGGGCCGTTTGCGGGCCTCTTGGGGCCTCCTGGGGGCCTCTAGGGGGCCTCGTGGGGCCTCTAGGGGGCCTCTTGGGCTCTTTGGGCGGCCTCTTGGGGCCTCCTGGGGGCCTCTTGAGGCGGAAGGCTCGAATTGTTGGTTCGTGTTCTCCCTCTTGGGCCACTCTTGGGGCCCTCTTGGGCGATCTTAGGCGCCTCTTGGGCAATTTTGGAGCCCTCTTGGGCCGTCTTGGGGCGGTCTTTAGGGCCTCTGGGGCCATCTTGGAGCGTCGGAAGCCCGAAAACGCGAGAACGCGAGACACATAGAAACACATAAGCACAATCAATGATGTGTACCTCTTTGGGACCTCTTGGGGGTCCTCTTGGAGCGCTCTTGGGGCTTCTTTGGGGCCTCTTGGGCCGTCTTGGGGCCATCTTGGGCGTCTTGGAGCGCTCTTGGGCTGTCTTGGAAGCTTTTTGGACCCTCTTGGGCGCTTCCTGGGGCCCTTTTGGCCCGTCTTGGGGCCCTCTGGCCTCTGGAAAAGCCATGCGGGGCAATCCAACAGCGCGCGGGAACGCCCGGGAAACTTTGGATTTGGGGGCCCGAGCCCCTACCTAGAATATTAGAATCCCAGGCTCCTGAGTACAGAGAACAGACGACACATGAGGACCAAGAGAAACTCCACTTCGCGCCTCGCGGCACGGTGGCGGACCACCCCCACTCCCCACAGACGGAATCCTGTTGCAGATCCCCTACAGAAGGAGTGCGTTTGTAAATCCGCCGCGGAAGAAGCTGAAGCAGGAGGAGAATCCTGCGGATGATGAGACTGAGGAGGAGGAGGAGGAGGAGGAGGAGGAGGAGGAGGAGGAGGAGGAGGGGGGGGAGGAGGAGGAGAAGGAGGAGGACGACGACTCTGGCGAGGATGAGGACACAGAGGATGAGGATAAGGAAGTCCGCGAGGAGGCGAGGATACGAGGAGGAATCGCGAAAAACGCTTCTGAAGGGGACCCGGCGTCCGGTGAGCTCTGCCCAGAAAGACCAGCGCGGACCAGGCCCTGGACGACGCAGAGCCCCCCATCCAAGGGCGCAGCGAGGGGGCGAAGAGCGCCCAACAAAACTAAAACCTCGAAACTCGAAGCTCGAACCTTCTGTCTCATGCCATCTCGCTGGCTCTTCGGAACCGACGCTGATCGATGCTACATCAGCGCTGCTTGATGCTAAATCGACGCTTCCTCATAGATGACCAGACGCCAACGCGCGCTAATGCACGCTAACGGACTTGCAGAGCCACGCAAGGCTCCCGTGAGCTGCCGAAGAGCGACCCCCCCCCCAGAGGGCCTTGGCCGCCGCCTCCTGCCGCCGCCGCTTCTCCTCCCGGAGCTCCTTCTCGATCTCCTTCGTCGCCTCGGCCGGCCGCGGCGCTCGCGAGCCCGAGCAGGCCCCGCCGCCGTCATCGCAAGTGGCGCGCGCTCCAAGAAGATGCGTGTGTTCCCCGTTTCCCACACACTTGCCGTCGCTCGGACGTCCATTTTCCGTGCATGTTTTCGGTTTCGTGCGTGTTTTTTTTGCTCGATGGTCCAGGATGGTCCTCGATGGTTCTCGCCGAGAAAAAATGCACACGTCCGAGCGATGCCAAGCACAAGCGGACGAATTCTCACTGCACGACTTCAACCGCCATGCGATTCAAATAATCGCCAGGCGGACCAAGACCAGCCAGAGGACCGACCTGCGATAGGCGAACCGATCAGGTTGGCCGTGGCAAGCGAGAGCGCGAGCGCGCGGAAGGGAACCTCCAGGAGCACAGATCTGTGTGTGTGTGTGCCACCAGCAGGCGGGAAGGATGCCATCACACCCATGCCTCGGGGGCGCACCGACCAGGGTCAATGCAAACCTGGGTCAGTCAGGTTTTGCAGGGGCTTGCAGGATACTGCAAGATCCTGCGCGCAAGCCCAGATCAATCCAACCATGGCTCTGCAAGATCCTGCAAGATGCAACGTTCTGGCTGACCCCCGTTTGCATTGACCCCCACCTCAAGGCTCCCGACCCATGTCCTTGCCATCGCTCAGACGTTTATTCCCCCGCGCATTCTTCGGCTTCGTGCGTGTAGTTTCCCGCAGGATGACCCACAGTGTTCCTCGATGGTCCTTGCCGAAACAGAAATGCGCACGTCCGAGTGATGCTAAGTGTTGGCGGCGCGCACAAGGGGGTAGGGGGAGGCAGGAAGTCTTCTCAAGTGGAAGGAGGCTGCTCCTTAGACGGTGCCGGCCTTCCATCGACAGACAATGTCCGCGCCTTCCAAGAAGCAGCATCCTTCTGAGCAGTCTCCCCCCCCTCCCAACCCCCCTCTGCGCGTGGCCGAAAGTGTCTGGCCCAATCTCTGCCCCGGCTGCCCCGCCGTGCGGACTCGGTGGAGGAGGAGGAGGAAGAGGAGGAGGAGGAGGAGGAGGAGGTGGAGGAGGATGAGGAGAGGAGGAGGAGGAAGAGGAGGAGGAGGGAAGAGGAGGAGGGGGAGGAGGAGGAGGAGGAACAGGAGGAGGAGAAGGAGGAGGAGGAGGAGGAGGAGAAGGAGGAGTGTTCGCCGAAGGGGCCCGGACAAGCTAGGTGCGCTCGCGTCATATCTGACGCCCTACCCCTCCCTCCCATCCCTTACCATGGCGTATATCTTTTCCTTATTCGCACCATCGGATGTCGCAACATGGCACAGCATTACATGGCATGACATGGTGTTGAAGATCAGAGCGTAGCATGACATCGCACAACGTGGCGACGCCCCACAGTGTGTGGGGGGGGTTCTGCGGCCCACAAATCAACGAATCGACACCGAATGTGAAAACACTTCCGATGGTTTCGGGAGGCCATGTTCTAGATTTTGGGGCTTATTTAGAAGGACCGAAAACCATGCCGCGGCATGGCACTGGAAATAATCACGCCAACGCTGCAGCGGGAGCACGATTCGGGACGAGCGGAAGCGCGGAAATAAGGCCAGCGCTGCAGCGGGATCACGATTCGGAACGGTAGCCCGAAAAAGGCCAGCGCTTCAACGAGACCAGCATTTTGGAACAAAAACCCAAGCGCGGAAACGCGGAAATGAGGACGCGTAGCCTGACATAGCATGGCGTAGCGACGCCCCGAAGTGGGGGCGGGGGGCTTCTGCGGCCCAACAAATCAACGAATCGCCACCGAATGTGTAATCACTGCGCAGCTGTTTTTTTCGGGGGCCATTTGTAGACTTTGGGGCCTATTTGGAAGGACCGAAAACCATGCCGTGGCATGGCGCTGGAAATAATGAAGCCAACGCTGCAGCGGGAGCACGATTCGGAACGAGCGGAAGCGCTGAAGTGAGGTCAGAGCTGCAGAGCGGGATCACGATTCGGAATGAGCGGTAGCCCGAAACTGAGGCCAGCGCTTCAGTGAGAGCAGCATTTTGACAAGAAGCCCAAGCGAAAACCCGTTTCCCGGGAATCTTGTGTAACAAAAGCAATACGCGGAGGGGGGCTGGACATTTCTCGGACGCCACCAGGGGAGAGAGGAGAGTAGTATTCACATTTTGTGTCATTGTAGAGGGTGTGTGTAGTCACGCGCCTCGTAGTCCGAGGGCATGTACTTGGGCGAGGGGGAGCCAGAGAACGTCTTGAAATCATGGAGAAAAAATGGGCGGCACGACATCTTTGAGATACACGGCCCCGGGCATTGTACCCGCACGCGTACACGTACCCAAACACGCACGCCAACAGTTCCTGGACGTCGCGGCCTCGCGTGCAGCGTCGAGGCGTAAAGGTCGAAACGCGGAAAGCGGGAAACGCGCGCGGCCAGCCCACTCAGAAGCCGTGGACAAGGATCCGTCCACAGGAGAGGCGCAAACTCGGGGCAGGGATGGGGGGGGGGGAAAGACGCGGAGGAAAGACGAGGAGGAAGGGAGGGCCAGGCGAGACAAGACGAGGCGCAGAAGCGGCGGCAAAGGCGAGACCGCGAAGTGCGAACACACATACACACATACACACTTACACACATAGACACATACACCCATACACACATACACACATACACACATACACATACACATACGCATACACATACGCACATACGCACGCACGCACGCACGCACGCACGCACGCACGCACGCGCACACACACACCTAATCCTCACCCCCCTCAAGGACTCCACGCTCAAGGACCGCCCTTACTCCAGGGTGGCCCAGGCCATTGGGGCTCTAGGTCGGCGGCTGCTTCCATCTTCGTCTTCATGTTGCTGTGGCTGGTTTGGGCCTAGCAAGGGAGCAGATGAGGGAGGACGGAGGGAGAAGAAGGGAAGGATAATAATAAGATCAGGGAGGGAAGAGGCAGAGGGGGAACGTGACAAGAGGATGAGGCTAGTGGGAGGCGGGAGGGGGAAGATGAGGATAAACATCCAGGGAGGAGAAGGAGCGTGGGACAAGTGGGAAGCGAGGAGTGATACCATTGCTAACGAAGAGGAGGCTCAGGATGAAGGACGAGGAGTGATGGTGATGATAAGAAGGATGATGGCATTGCAGCGTGGCCGATCGCCACTCTCATCGTTCGATTCGCTCCTTCTCTCTCTCGTACTCTGTATCCCCACTCTCTCTCTCGCTCTCTCTCTCTCTCTCTGTTTACATGTCCGCCACCGCGCCTTGAGCCACGAGTTGGCGTGTCCTCAAGTCCTTCGAGTCTTCAGTCCTCAATCATCTAATATCTAATGACCTTCGCCGCATCCCGCCATCGTGCACTGCTTGCAGGTTTCTTCGATGCCTGTGCGGATGGAAGCCTCTCGGAAGCGATTTTGGGGTGTATGGGGCCTCTTGGTGTCTGATTTGGGGCGGAGGGGTCTGATTTCTCGTGCAGCGTATTGAGGGCCTCTTTGGCCGTTTTGAAGCCGTCCTGGGCTCTTTGTGAGCGCTCTCGGACCGTCTTGGGGCCCTCGTGGGCCTCCCTGAGGCTGTCGTGGCGGCAGCTTGGGCGCTCTTGGGGCGATCTTGGGCCGTCTCTGGGCCCTCTGAGGCGCTCTTGGGGCTGACCTGCGCCGTTCCGGGCAGAGGGTAGCCGAACATTTGGCCACTCGATCTGGGCCCTCCATGGCCCCTGACACTCCCGCCTAACGGATCGCAACGCCACGCGCGCTCTCCGTCATCCGCCGCCCTTCTGTGGATGAGTCACAAAGGGTGCCCAGCGTGTCTAAGTTTGGGCGGTTCTTTTGTGAAACTTTCACGACTCCCCCTGGGGCTTCGGCCCAACGCGCCGGCCACCCGAACGGCCGCGCAAGCCGCGGACCAACCCAACTCCGTCGGCCCCATCGCCTACAAGTCGGCCAAGATGGCCTCCACGATGCCTCCAAGACGCCTCCAAGACGGCCCCAAGAGAGCCCGACCTGGCCCCAAGATGCACCGAGAAGGCCCAAGATGGACCGAGGACGGCCCAACATGCCCAAGACGGCCCAAGATGCCCACAAGAGGCCTCCAACGACGGCCCCAGAGGCCTCCATGAGGTTCTCCAGGAAGGCCCGAAGAAGCCACACTCATGGATTGCCTTATGATTTCGACGAATTTTGGCATTTGCTTCTGTTCGGCCTTCCGACGGCCCAACACGGCCCGAGAGGCTCCCAGGAGTGCCCCAAGAGCGACCAAGAGGCTTCCAAGATGGCCCCAGGACGGCCCCAAAAGGGCTCCGAGACTGCCCAAGAGGCATCCAAGAAGCTCAAGATGGCCTTGAAGACGAACCTGCAGCGCTCCGAGAAGGCCCCAAGACGGCCCAAAGAGGCTCCCCAAACGGCTTCCGACTGCGTCGGACGGGTCAGGAACGCCGTAAAACTGCCAAAGAGGCCCCCAAGAAGCCCCCAAAGGCCCCCAATGGGCCCAAGGAGGCCCCCAAGGGGCCCCCAAGAGGTCCCCAGGAAGCCCAGGAGGCACCAAGAATGACCCAAGAGACTCCCGAGAGGTCTCCTCATCTCATTCGTCATCCTCCTGTCTTCTCCCTACCCTCATCCTCCTCCTCCCCCACGTGATCCCCGAAAGGCTTCTACAACGGCTGGGGGAACGTATAGTCCAATAGCGTGGCCAAACTTTGCCTCAACGTTTGGCCACATAGGCGTATCCGAAAAGGCAGCGGTCGGCGGTGATTCGCTGTAGGCGTCTTCGGCATTCTACTTATGTATACCTATACGACCACCCTGCGGGTGAGAAGGAGGTTGGAGGGAGGGGGGCTAGCAATGGCCAACAGTGGTGATTGTGGCTTTGCCGCTCGCTCTTGGGACCATCGATCCCACTATCGATCTCACTCGATCGATCTCACTATCGATCTCACTCGATCGATTTCACTGTCGATCTCACTCTGGATCTCGCTATCGATCCCACTATGGACCTCCCTATCGAAATCACTCGATCTCACAATCGATATCACAATTCATCTCACTATCGATCTCACTATCGATCTCACGATCGATCTCACTATCGGTCTCACTATCGATCTCACTATCGATCTCACAATCGATTTCGTCATCGGTCTCACCAGCGTTTTCGCACCAGCGGGACACCGAGACACCAGCGGGACACTGGCGGGACACCGCGGGCCACCGCTTGCTGGAGGGAGAATCATTTGGTCCGGCCGGGACCCAGCCACAAGCGGGACACCGGCGGGACACCGCGGGCCACCGCTTGCCGGAGGGAGAATCATTTGGTCCGGCCGCGCCTCAGCCACAGGAGACTTTCCTCTCGCCCGCCCACGCAACTTCGCCTCGCCCGCACTCACGGCACGCACGAACACGAACCCGAAACCGATTTCCCGGTGGTGGGCTCTCCGTTCCACTTCGATCTCACCCCCCAACCTCCGACATACACATATATATATATATATATATATATACCTATACGACCACCCTTCGGGTGATAAGGAGGTTCGGGGGGGGGGAACCAACGTCTCTCTCGATCGGTCTCACTATCGATCTCAGTATCGATCTCACTATCGGTCTCGATCGATCGATCTCACTCGATCGATCTCACAATCGATCTCACTCGATCTATCTCATTCGATCGATCTCACAATTGATCTCACAATCGATCTCACAATCGATCACACAATCGATCTCACATTCGGTCTCAATATCGATCTCACTATCGATATCACAATCGCTCTCACAATCAACGTCATCATCATCATCATCATCATCATCATCATCATCATCAACATCACCACCAACATCAACATCATCATGAGGGCACCGTCATCAACATCATCATCATCATAACATCATCATCAACGTCAGCATCATCATCGGGACAACATCATCATCATCACCATCATCATCTCATCATCAACATCATCATCATCGGGACACAGGCATCGTCATCATCATCAGCAGCAACATCAGAATCATCATCATAGTCGGGACACCATCATGATCACCATCGTTCTCATCATCAACATTATCATCAACATCGTCATCATCCTCGGGACACCATCATCATCATGTTCATCGCATCATCATCATCGACATCAGCATCAACAACATCATCATCATTGGGGCACCATCATCATCATAAGCAACATCATCATCAACATCGTCATTATCATTATTATCATCATCGGGACACCATCAGCATCATCATTCATCATCATCACCATCATCATCATCAGCATCATCATCGGGACACCATAATCATCATCAACATCATCATCAACATCATTATCGCCGGGACACCATTTCCATCAACATCATCATCACCAACATCATCGGAATCATCATCATCATCATCATCGGGACACCATCATCGTCATCATCAACATAATCATATGAGCATCATCATCCTCATCATCGGGACACTATCATCATCATCGACAACATCATCAACATCATCATCATCATCTTCATCGGGACACCATCATCATCATCATCATCATCACCACCACCACCACCACCACCACCACCACCATCATCATCATCATCATCATCATCTCATCATCATCATCATCATCATCATCTCATCATCATCATCATCATCATCATCATCATCCTCGCGGGACTCCGCGGGACACCGGCGGGACACCGCGGGACACCGTCGGGACACCGCGGGACACCGCGGGACACCGCGGGACACCGGCGGGACACCGCGGGCCACCGGCCGCCCGGAAGGGAATCATTTGGTCTGGCCGCGCCTCAGCCACACGGGACACCAGCGGGACACCGGCGGGACACCGCGGGCCACCGGCCGCCCGGAAGGGAATCATTTGGTCCGGCCGCGCCTCAGCCACAGGAGACTTTCTCTCGCCCGCCCACGCAGCTTCGCCTCGCCCGCACGGCACGCACGAACACGAAACCGAAATCGATTTCCCGGTAGGGGGGCTCTCCGTTCCACTTCGATCTCACCCCCTCACCTCCGATATACATAGATACGTGTGTCAACTATATTGGTGTTTTTGTTGCTCTCATTTTTTTTTTTTTTTTTCTCTCTCTCTCTCTCTCTCTCCTTCGCTCTGCTGTCTCTGCTCTCTTTCTCTCTCTCTCTCTCTCCCTCATTATGTTTCTCTCTCTCTCTGCCTCTAAGAGGCCCAAAGGCCTCACAAAAAGACCTCACGAGGCCTCTGAATGGCCTCTGGTCCCTTCCATCGGTCACGGTGGCGGCATGGGGGGACGGCTACTAGATACGTACTGCCAATCCGACGCGAAAGCAATCGCAAACACGATTCTGAATGAACCGACCTCCCCAACCTATCCCTATTCCCCAAAAAGTGGTGCTACAGCCTGGCAGGCTCCCGGCTGTAGCTGGTACGATAGGTAAGCCTACGGCCTCCTGGCTAGATGCGTACCTTAACGCCTTAATCTGCGATCTTCGTGTACCTTTCACATGTGCAGCCTCTTCCTTCTACCCGCCGAAACACCACATTATCCGCGGTTCACGATGCTTCGGCGGCAAGCAGCGATGGCCTTGCTGGCCCTGACCCGCATCTTCATCAGCTGAGCCTGACAGAATGAGGACGGGGTCTACGACGAAAAACATAATGTGGGCGACCCAGTGTCGCGAGGAGAGGGAAGATCAATCGACGCTGCATGTGTGCTCTGCGTGAACAACTTCATCAACGGATGTACGCATACGCATTCCCACCCGAACATGCAAGGCGCCCTTGACACCATCGTTGAAACATCGTTTAACCGACCAGACTACACGCGCTGCCACATAGGTGGATGGATGGTCCAGATGTGAGCTGCACTAGGACACAACACGGCCATGGTGTGCCCTTGCTTGAAACGCACTCCCCTTGGAACCCGCAACTTGGCACGCCTCGCGACATCGCTAAATGAAGGACGAGCAAGAATGGGTCTTGCGCGAGATGACGCAACAACTTTGCGCGGTGGCATACGCAAGCCGCCAACGTGGCACGACAAATTGGAAACAAGGGCGCTTACGCGCGAAATTTCGCAGGCAATTCTCGCATCAATGTCGGTGAAAACGAATCTGCTTTTCATCGTCGCTCAAATGCCGAATAGCCACCTACAGTTTCGCCTCCACCCCCCAACGCTCCCATCCCCATGCCCTCACCCCCCATCCCCCTCTCCTCCGCCTGGGGACCGATATCAAAAACATAAGCCAATATACAATAGACATGCAAACTTTCGAATATCCGCGCGGAATCCCTGGTTCGGCGTTGTGTCCCCCCCTCCCTGGCGCGCGGAGCGCGCCAAGGGCTGCGCCAGAGGCGCCGCCATGGAAGGCCCAACGCCGATCCGAGAAATCCGCGCGGAGCTCCGAAAGCTTGTTTATGCAGCTTCTCCTCCTTCGAATTGCCCTCTTGGCGATCGCACTCCTCGATCATCCTCCTCCTCGATCATCGATTCTGCTGCTGTTCCTCCTCCTCCTCGATCCTCGATCATCCTCGTCCTCGTCCTTCTGCTCGATCCTCCTCGATAATTGTCCTTCTCGTTCTCCTCCGCCTTCTCCTCCTGCCACACACGCCGCCTCCTCCCCGGCGGGGGCTTGGCGGACTCCGGGCCCCCGCTGCGCCGCCGGCAGATGAAGGCCCAGAGCGGGCTGCGCGCGTCGCCGCGTGTCCGACCAGCGTGGGCTCCGCGGCTCGTCGAGCACTCCTGGGCCGCATCTGACTTTGCGCGTCGCGCCCCGCGAGAGGTGCGATCATGCCCTTGAGCATCGCGTCACCGATCCCTATCCTCACTGGCGTGGCCCGGGCCCCAATGGCCCCCCCCCCCCCCCCCCTGGAGGGGGACAGGCGGCTCCCCTCGGGCTTCGAGGGGCCTGTCCCCAGCTGGGGCGGTGGGAAGAGGTAGGAGTAGGAGTAGGAGTAGGAGTCAAGCTAGCCAGCTCGAGCGAGTCAAGCATGGCATGCCCAGTCCCACCCGCCTCCCCACAACATAAGAAGCAAGCTGGCACAACTGGGGGCCGAAGTCACACCGGCCAGCCGGTTTGGTACAGCTGATGCGGCCGCGATGGCGGTTGCCGACGGGAACTGGCGAGCGCGTGTTGAATGCCGCGCGCGCATTGCCAGACGAGTCGAGAATGGCCCGGTACACCGCAGGAAGCCAGAGGTGGCCGGAGGAAGCCCGACGGTCTGACAGGACACCCCAAAGCATTTTTGTGAAAAAGCATTGGTTTTTTGATGTTTTTATGTTGAAATGCTTGCAAACACACGGTGTTCGGTAGGATTCTGACATGAACGCGCGAGTGTGCTCTTTGTGGTATTTGTGCACAGGATTCGCGGCCTGGGTGCATGACAGAGCATCGCGAGTGCACCGCGCGATGACGTGAAATCGCTGGATTTGACCGAATTCTTAAGATTCCTATGGTTTTCCTATGATTTCAGCAAGAGAGCCCGGGCGGGAAATTTGTACAATTTTTGTGAAAAAGCATTGGGTTTTTGATGTTTTTATGTTGAAATGCTTGCAAACACACGGTGTTCGGTAGGATTCTGACATGAACGCGCGCGTGTGCTCTTTGTGGTATTTTTTGCAATGGATTATCGCCGTGGACGACAGGACGTCCATGTCGAGAGGACAAAATAAGAAAAATGTTGATTTTGTATTGTTTTTTACAGGTTAGGATGGGACCACCCGGATGCGGCCCCTAATGGCCGGCCTGAGGGGGGAGTAGGAGTATATTCTAATAAGGAATAAGGATCGGAGTAGGAGGAGGAGGAGGAGGAGGAGGAGGAGGAGGAGGAGGAGGAGGAGGAGGAGGGTGAGGCTGAGGTACCCTGGCCCGGCGGGGCTGGGGACAGGGCCCAACGACAGCGACCTCTGCGCGCCCTCGCGCCCTCTCGCCGCCCCCCTTTGGAGAGGGGCGAGCTCTCTGGCCCCGACAGCGGCGTGCGCCGGGTGCGGCGACCCTCGCCTCGCCGTCGCTCGGACGTCCATTCCCTGTGTTTCTTTCGGTTTCGTGTGTGTGGCTTTTTCGCCAAAGGATCAAGGATGCTCCTCGAAGGTCCTCGCCGAAGAAAAAAAATGCACACGTCCGAGCGATGCCAGGGCCCCCCTTTGGAGAGGGGCGAGCTCTCTGGCCCCGACAGCGGCGCGCGCCGGGTGCGGCGACCCTCGCCTCGCCATCGCTCGGACGTCCACTCCCTGTGTTTTTTTCGGTTTCGTCTGCGGCTTTTTCTCGCCAAATGATCAAGGATGCTCCTCGAAGGTCCTCGCCGAAGAAAAAAATGCACACGTCCGAGCGATGCCAGGGCCCCGGGCGAGCTCTCTGGCCCCGACAGCGGGGCGCGGCGGGTGCGGCGACCCTCGCGCTCCCCCCGCAGGTGGCCCATGGAGGACTCCGGGGCGCTCCGAGCCGGCGGCGGTGGCCGTGGCCACGGTGGTGTCCGGGCGGACGAGAGGCCCCCAGGCCACCAGGCGCCCGAGGAGGCGCGAGGAGGAGGAGGAGGAGGAGGAGGAGGGGGAGGAGGGGGAGGAGGAGGTGGAGGAGGGGAGGAGGAGGGGAGGAGGAGGAGGAGGAGGAGGAGGAAGGAGGGGAGGAGGAGAGGAGGAGGAGGAGGAGGAGGGGGAGGAGGAGGAGGAGGAGGAGGAGGAGGAGGAGGGGAGGAGGAGGAGGAGGCCCCCATCGGGCCCTGCAGACATCGCAGCGGATCTGTCTTCGCTGTTTCTCGGCCTCTGCGGAGGCCCTTCCCGGGCCCTGGGGACCGTCACACAGAGGTTCAGGGTGATGAACGGGTGAGGAGGAGAAAGAGAAGGAGGAGGAGGAGGAGGAGGAGGAGGAGGAGGAGGAGGAGGAGGAAGAGGAGGAGGAAGAGGAGGAGGAGGACGGGGAGGAGGAGGAGGAGGAGGAGGCTCGGAGGAGGAGGAGGAGGAGGTCCAGGGGAAGGGGTCGAGACCTCTGGGGGTCGACGTTTTGAAGGGGCCCTGGGGCACACAAGTAGAAATAGACGCAAATAACAGGATCCCCAATATTTTCCCATATGTTCTGGGTGTGTGTCTTCCCCCCTACTTCCCATATTTTCTTATATTTTCTGGGGGATCGACGACTCACTGTGTCTGTGTGTTTTTCCCTCTGGAGTTATGAACAGATACTGACGTCGAGGGCCTGGGCAGGGGGGAAGATTGGCAAAGGGTTGACGAGTCCTGGCAGTCCTGCAGGCCTACCACGACATGTTCCGAGAACAACTGGGCATCGCTCGGACGTCCCGTCCCTGTGCTTTTCTCGGTCTCGTGCGTGGCCTCTTCGCCACATGGTCGAGGATGCTCCTCGATGGCCCTCGCCGAAGGACAGATGCACACGCCCGAGCGGTGCCAAGACAAAGGGGGTGCTCAAACAACGAGCACGGTGGACTTTATGATCTCAGGGCATCCGCAGCCCGTGCCCGCGCGGCGTGCTCGTGCTAGATTATAGTTGGGCCCAGGGCAGGCCTGGAGGAGCAGGAGGAAAAGAGCAAGGGAGGAGGGGCGAGGGGGAGGAGGAGGAGGAGGAGGAGGAGGAGGAGGAGGAGGAGGAGGAGGAGGAGGAGGAGGAGGGCCTACAGTCGTAGCGCTGACCTAAGGAACCCTAAATCAGGAACGAGGCCCCTTCTTCCCATAAGTTAAACTCCGATCTTCCATGGAGCACAGTAAAACAACCAAGGAACACGGAACCCCTCCCAGACGAAAAGGGGTTCCTTCTTCAGCGCCCCGACTGTAGGGTGGGCCTAGGCGTTTGCCTAAGGATAGGCCTAGGGCAGGCCTTGGGGTAAGGCCAAGGGTAGGCCCAGGGAAGGCCTTCCCTGGGTCCAAGCATGATCGAACATTCAATCTCGCATTGCTGCAAATCTGACACTCCTGGACATGCTCCGATCTGGCGGCTATCCAAAACTGGTGCAACCTGGCGCTGGCTACAGTCCGGACATTCTGGCGGCACTACCATCTTGGCAATCTGTGAATGCCAGCTGATGCATATCTGGCTCGCCCTTGCGAGATCCACTGTGCCCTCAGCACGTAGCGCAGTGCTCCAAGGATCATGCAGCCCTGAGAACTACGGAGTTGCACCGCTGTGAAAGCCCGAACCACCGGCTTCCCCAGGAACTTCCGGGGATGCCCTGGGGTAGCGCAGCTGTCCCAAGAGGGCCCCAAGACGGTCTCCAAGAGGGCCCCGAATCGCCGCACGAGCAATCCAAGACGCCCACGACGGTCGCCAGTCGGCCAACAGAACGCCCAAGACGCCCCAGGAGACCTCCAAGAGCCGTCCCAAGATGGGCTCCGAGAGGCGAAAATCACTGGTGCTGTGTTCAGGTCTTTTTCAATGTTTTCGGGGCCCTCGACTTGTCCAACGTCCATCGCTCCATGACGGCCCAGGAGGCCCCGAAGACCGCCCCGAGACGGCCCAAGGGCCAGGAGACCCCCAAGAGGGCTCCCAGACTGTGCAGGCTAGCTCCAAGACGGCCCAGAGGCGCCCATGACGGCCCACGAGGGCCGAAAGACAGCCCCTAAGAAGGGCCCCAGACGGAGAACACGAACGAAAAGCCGAGTCTTCCGCCCCAACAGGCCCCCAGGAGGCCCCAAGGAGGCGCCAAAAAGTCCCAAAGGGGCCCGACGAGACCCCCAAGAGGCCTCAAGACGCCCCAGGAGACCCAATACGGCTCCCAAGAGGCCTCCAAACGGCCACCAAGGGGCCCCCCGCCAGATCCCAACGAACATCCTAGAGGCCTACGACCCACAACCCAGTCACTGTGGCGGGATGGGCCGACTTCCATTTGATATTTTGCACGCGTAAGGCCAGAGGGCCGCAAACCATAAACACAAAAGGAGATGGCGGACAAGAAAATCAGATCGAGACGGTCAGCACCAGATTGGGATGCGCCAGATTGGCGCCAGATTGGAATTCACAAGAGACAAGAGACTGATGCCAAGTTGGCAATCCAATCTGACCGGCTAGCCTTCGACTACCCAGAGCTGGCGGTACGCACAAAAAAGTGGGGGGAGGGGGGGGCTTCTTAGGAGGCTGCTTCATACAAGGCGCCGGCCCTACATCCGTAGAGAAGGCCCGCGCCTTCCAAGGAACAGCCTCGCTCTAAGAAGCCTTCCCCCTCCCCCTAACCTCGAAGGGTCTTACCCCCCCCCCCAGCGATGGGACAATGTGCGCGGGCTTCTTGACGGATTGGGGCCCCTAACAATACTTGGCAAATCATTACTCCCCCGCGGCGGCCACCGCTGATGAGAGGGGAGGATGAGGATTCCTGATGGTGAGAATGATGGTGATGAGGGAAAAGACGAGGATGGGAAGGACAACTTTAATTGTCAGCCGAGAGCTGAGAGGGGGGGAGCGGTTGGCATTCAATATCCTTCTGGGTTACCTCCTCTGCGCGTTGCTGGCTCAAATGCCTACAAGGTGAGCGGACGATGAGGAACGAGCGAGCTCTCTCGCCCGCTGCTGTCTCTGCTGGCCTTCACCTCCACCAGCGGTCCGCTCGTCACCTTGTGCACCTTGATCTCCTGCCGAGGCGAGCGAGGCGCGAGTGAAGGGGCCCTGGGACACACAAACGAATGGACACAGATCCCAGGATCCCCCATCTTTCCACTATCTTCCGGACGTGCGTCTCCCCCTCCCCTTCCCATAGCTTCCAGAGCTTCTGTGGGGATCGGCGATGCTTCTGGCGTCTGCGAGCTGTTTCCGTTCTGAAGATCTGAAGATGCCTCCCACTCTTTCGGGGATGGACAGACCCCCCTTTAGTAAAACGTGGTTTAGTGAAAACGACCTGGGGCCCAAACCTGGCGGGCGAAGGCCTGGAAAATAGCGGCCGCGGCGCCCCCTCGAGAACCGAAAACGGACAATTCACTAATCGACGCGTCACTGTTGGGGGTTCTGTCCACCTCCGACCACTCTTGTTCGTGGATGCGTTCCTCTCTTCTGCCCCGGGCGGCACACAAAGGCACGCATCTGCCACGAACGTGCGCGGGCGAGCCAGGGCGAGGCCACGAAGTGGAGGGAGGGAGGGGACGGTGGCACCTGGGATTAGGTCGTCGGGCCTGTCCCCCGACAGGGGGATTCTACAGGAAAAATTAGAAATACCCAAACATGCTCAAAAGGTGCCCCAAAAATACTCAAAAAATAGTCCCCAGACTTTTTTTAACACTATTTTTGAGTTTTCTCGGGCGTTGGCAGAATTGGGTTTAGTGGAAACTGGTTTAGTGATCTGTACCGGGGGCGCCCCCTCGTCCCATTTCCACCAAGCGGAACTGCCGCCACCCGAAAAAACACCAGCTATGGCAAACCTGGTTCAGTGATCCTGGCCAATTCAAAGGCTCCGGGGCCCTACCACTAACCGGGTCCCCTTACCTGGGGTCCTGGCCATACCCGAGATTCCCCCTGTAGAGGGACAGGCCCGACTTAAGACTCGGACCTCGGGCGGCCGTTCGGGAGGACGCCGGGAACCCTCGGAACGCTCTCGCGGCGGCACAGCCGGCGGCAGGCGCCCCCCGAACCGAAGACCTCCCAAAACCTCCGAACACATCCGAACATGACTCCCGTTACGTGCGCTCCTTTGTTGGGGGATTGGCAGATCCCCCTTCTCGGAGGAGGGCCAATCGAGATAACCCGCCTGGCCAAAATCCGTTCAAAATCAGCCCCTCCAGACTCCTCCAGGGGTTCATCGTGACCCGCTTTCTCAGACGGATCCAAGTGTTTTTCGTTGAGCTCCGGCAGCAAATCTACTTGCATGGAGGGGGACAGGGGGGCAGACGTGGCGATGCCCTGAAGGGAATCTGGAATTCGCGAAAGTCGGGGTTCACTTGCACACCTGTCCGGCCCAGCAGCGATGTTCTAGAAGGCGGGAGGGGGGAAAGGATGAGAGACAGAATTCTGCACCACCCGCGCGACCAGGGTGCTGGCGCCAACATCGACGCTTCCCCTTGCCCCCCCCCGATGCAGTGTTGCTCGGCGTCGCCAGGGGGCGCAAGGTTCCGGCCAGTCGGCAGATCGACACATCGCGGATTTGGAGGCGCCGGGGAGGGCTCAGAAAAAAACAGCATTCAAGGGGGGGGCGGCGGGGGTGAGGGGCGGCATGCCATGCAAGTGGCCCCGCCCCCCGGCGTCATGATTCTTGCAGAGAGTCGACTCCCAGAGGTCTCGACCCATTCCCTGGGACCGCTGGCGAAACGCGAACTCCGTGGACCTCTCCAGGGGTGCGTTCTGGCCAGCATTTCGAAGTGAAACCAGCGGTGGTGACGAGGGCCTCCCAGGAGGCCCAAACAGGGGCAAACGGGCGAAGGGCAGTGGTATGGGTACATTATCCTCCTCTGAGTCGTGACTCTTTCATTTTTTGCAGCAAAAATCAAAAATGCACGAACGGCTGGCATGCAGTCAGGCAGTCTGGCGGGCATTCGCACAAACAATAGAAACATACGATAATCGAGCCACGTGTGACAAGATGCTGGCCACATGCACCAAGCAAACCCGGAGTCACGCGAGGGCCAACCTGCAATAGGTGAGCCAACACGTGAAACCTTAGCTCGTGCAGAAATTTGTGGAGATGCTTGCGCTGTCGTGACTCTTCCATGCCTCGAGGGGGCCTGGGAGGGAGGGCTGGAAGGAGAGGGCCCTCTGGCCGCCGCGACGAGAGGCCTCCGGGAGGCCCGGAGGAGCGCGACGGGACGCCAGACGGGGCGGACAAGGTGACGACCTGGGTCGGTTTTTTTCAAGGTTGTGAGAGATTCGACAGTTCGTTTTGAGAACCAATATTTTGCTAACGTGTAGTGCGTTATGCCGCCTCTCTGTAAAAAAATCTCAGGTGCGCAGCTGCAGTAGTACTATCAACAGACGAGGAACTGAGAGATCCGACGACTCGCTTTGAGAACCAGTATGTTTCTAACGCGTAGTGGGTTATGCCGCGTCCCTGTAAAAATTCTCAGGTCCGCAGCTGCAGTACAGTCGGGGCGCTGACCTAAGGAACCCTAAATAAGGAACGAGGCCCCTTTTTCCCATAAGTTAAACTTCGACTTCCCAGCGAAAACCTAAGGAAAACCGGAGGCAAGCTGTGCAACACTTAAGGAACGCGGAGCCCCTCCCCAAGCAAAAGGGTTCCTTCTGCAGGGCCCCGACTCTATTACTGTCAAAAGACGTGGAGGAGCCCCGCCGCTCGGCCGGCCCTCGTCCGAGCGCTCCGCGCGCCGAAGCCCTCGCCGCGCGGGCCCCGACCCCGCGGGTGCGCCGAGCAGGGGGGGAGGCAGGGGCGCGCCATGGCTCGCCTCGCCCCGAGGAGCCCCCCCCCCCCCCCCCCCCCCCCCGAGAAGGCCGGCAGGTCGGAGGCGACCTCCGACGGGTCCACGACGAGCCTCGACGAACCCACGAGGAGTCAGGTCGTTGGCCACGCGGCGTGTGCGCGGATCAGGCGGGGGCCAGGGGGTGCGTGTGGTTTCGATGCGCAGAGATGGTAATGATGAAGGGTCGGCCAAAGACAGCAGCGCGACGCGCAGCACACGAGAGCGCCCGGCGTTCAAGACATCGGCACGCATCCCGACTGGACTCAGTAAGCTACCACGTGAACTCGGAGTGAGGAAGAAGGGGAGGACGAAGCGGGGGCCGGGAGATGTGCTGGAATATCCAGGGCTCCTCTTCTTCCTCATCCTCTTCCTCTTCCTTCTCCTCCTCCTCCTCCTTCTCCTCCTCCTCCTTCTTCTCCTCCTCCTCCTCCTCCTCCGCCTCCTCCTCCTCCTCCTCCTCCTCCTCCAAAACGCCCTCTAGTGAAAGCTGCCTAAGGCGCTCCACGTGCGAGCGGCACCGCGTTCCGAGTGGACCTGAGCGGGGTAGCGGAGCGACGCCCAGAAACAAGCGACTGTGCCTAGCCAGACGCACGTCAATTAGCGACACCGACCGGGGACTCCACCAATACACTCGAATACATGGATGTCGAGGGAAACTTCCTGTCTGGGAGGGCGTTCTTTAGAGGCCTCCTAGATGGGGTCGGAGTAGATGGGGTCGGAGGATCCCGCCGCATCGCCGATACATCGGCGATGCACTGGCGACGCATCGGCGACGTCGGCGTGGCGAAATCGGGCTCCGCATCGAGCCGCATCGCCGATGCATCGGCGATGCGGCGAGATCCCCCGACCCCATCCACTCCGACCTCATCTACTAGAGGGCCTAGATTCTCTCAATGCCCCAGGGGGGGCAACGAGATCTGGGAGACTCCGTGGCCCCATCCATACACGCCAGTCTGATGAAGTAGGTAGAACATGAAGTAGGAAAGCGGATAGACTGGGTTCGGGCCCTCCCAAGTAATAACAAACAACAGCCAAGCCAGACCGACTATTGAAGTAGATTGGGATCTGGGAATCCAAAATTACCTGCTTTCAACGACCGATGGGTAGCCTATCCCAGGCCGCCCCACCTCGCGCACCGCGCCCAGCCTCCTCCTCCTCCTCCTCCTCCTCCTCTTCTCTTCGTCCTCCTCCTCCTCCTCCTCATCCTCCTCCTCCTCCTCCTCCTCCTCCTCCTCCTCCTCGTCCTCCACCTCCTTCCCCCCTCCAACTCATGGTGGTGGTGGAAAACAGGCTCGTCCTTCTTGGGCGCCCTAGGATCCCCTCCCCCTCTCTCCACCCTCTTGGACGCCCCCCGAGCCGCCCCCGAACCGAGGGGGGACGCGCCAGCCCCGGCTCCCGCGCAGGAGCGCCCGGGCCGGGTCGGCCAGGGATCCACGCCGCGGAGCCCCGGCCACGCCGCGGAGCATCTCCCGCAGCGACGGGTCAGCGACGGGCGGCGGCCGCCAGCATGCCCGTGGCTCTCCCACCACGCGGAGGAGGAGGAGGAGGAGGAGGAGGAGGAGGAGGAGGAGGAGGAGGGAGGAGGAGGAGGAGGAGGAGGAGGAGGAGGAGGAGGGAGGAGGAGGAGGAGGACTCTGCCGCGCCAGTCGAGCACAGGCCTTCTGCGAAGGGCACTCGACGCGGGATCTTCTCCTCCTCCTCCTCCTTCTCCGCCTCCACCTCCTTCTCCTCCTCCTCCTCCTCCTCCTCCTCCTCCTCCTCCTCTTCCTCTTCCTCCTCCGCCGACGCCGGCACGACACGACACTACGCAGGCCTTCTAAGCAGGCCAGTCACGCGCACTTCACGTCTGAAACGTTTTCACGAGGCGTCGTGCGTTCGTCGCCAAGCGTGCTGCATAGAGCTGTTCTCATCTTCTCGCCGAACAATCTCGCTCGCTGCCGCGCGTGCCCACGAGCTCCAGCCGGCGTCCTCGCGCAAGGGTGGCCCTTCGCCAGAGAGGACCCTCTGGTGCGGGCCCACAAGGGTCTCCCCAACGCTGGCTCTGGCGCTCCCCAACCTACCGTGTGCCCCCCCCCCTGAAGCCGCGCACCACAGGTCACTCTTGCCTGGGGTCGCTCTGGCGCGTCGCCGCCTCAAAGGTGCTCTGGAGGCCATCTGGGATCGGCTCCAGATGGCCCCCGATCCCGGATCAGCCAAAGGATCTCGGAGGGGATTGGCTACAGGCAAAACTGATACTAAGGGAGCGCGGTAAGGATGCAAGCCCCTTGGATGCGCGCGTCGAAGCTTTGCGAAATGGGCTGGCCGTCGAAAGGGGTTGGACGGACCGAGGAGGCAAGGATGCCAGGGTACCCCCGGAAGTGCTACTCATCCATATCATCGATGCCGACTGCATTGGCTTACCCCTGTTAGCGCAGACTCCCGTCACGTGAACCGACCCCCCCGGACGCACTGCGGCGGGGAGCCTCGGACCGCCGCTTCAGGAAGGTCTGCGTGGCGTTCACCGCCTCCAGGGCCTCGCCGCGCCGGGGTGCTTCAGCGGGCGACACGACAATCTTGGGTATGACGAGCCCAGGGCGATGACAATCTCAGGTGTGCGCCCTCAGGCTTTGGGGGACCTATGGTCGGCACCGGGATGAGGTGATGCCAGTCTTACGACTCGGGTAGGGATCTGTTTCAGACTGGCAACGGGCACGGCCCGCAGCAACACCCTTGGGCGTCGTGGGTGGTGCGCCTCTTCCTCCTTTGGTTGCGAAGTCGTTGGTCGAAGCGACCGCCGCGTCTGAGCGTTCGTGCTGAACAACAGAAGAAACGCATGTGCGTGAGTACAGCACGAATGCACGATCCGTGCGTGCGCAAGAAAGGCCAGAATGGCAACGAAAGACGGGAAAGTGGAGAAGCCCGCGGGGTCGTAGAGAAGCCCGCGGGGCGTAGAGAAGGCTTCCCGACGCCTCCATCACCACACTACTTTCTGCTTTTTCGGGCCCCCTGGGGGAACCTTCGCAATCCAGAAAAAATCTTCGCACTGACGCCACGGGCCTCCCATGGGCCCAACAACCACCTGGAGACCGAAATCCGCAAAACAAAGACTGGCCCGCAAGCCTAATCCTTCCAGCGGGTGTCCCCCCTTCTCCCGCAAAACGTCGTACAAGCCCTGGCTCCATGAGACTCGCCTGAAGTCGAGCGGGGCAGCCCCGGGCGTTGACCTGGTGGGGAGTGGGCACAGGGTGGATGGGTCGATGCTGCGCCTGAGGGCCCTGACCGCGCTCCTGCGACCTGCGGTGGTATGTTCTGGGCACCGCTCTGTGTGCTCCTCCTCCTCCTCCTCCTCCTCCTCCTCCATTGACTTCCCTTGTGAATAACTCTTCCCTGTCGCACCCCGAGGCCAGTCGGAAGGGCGGGCCAGGCGTTTCGCCTGACACTATCATACCACTTGTGAGCCTGAAGCTTAAAACATGGCAACAGCCTAACATGGAGCAAGGCTGGTCTTCAAAATGTGGCTCTGGCCTGAGTGCCGCGCGCATTCCTTCCACAACATTGCAAAACATTTTACGGGTTGAGGGCGGTTCCCTTTCATGTGGCTCTCGCCTGAGCACCGCGCAAACTCCTTTCAAACAAATGCAAGGTTTTCGCTTGTTTTTAGGTTAACATAACAGAAACGATGTTTGGGAGCGATTCTGGGTTGTCAGGACGAAACAGTTACGTTGATTCGAGGTGGTGAAGATCCAGGAATGATATCCTGGTGCGATTCTGGATCGCCAAGACGCAACAGTCAGGTTAACTCGTGGCGTTGAAATACTGAGAGTGGTGTTTTGAAGCGTGACAAGATTTTCACACTTGTGTCCCCAGAGGGGCACTTCCCTCAGTGGAAATGAGCCCTTTGTATGGGGCCTATGAGAAAGGAGCTCAGAAGGAGGGTGCATTCCGACATCGATGATGGGTCTTGGGTTTGCACTGGTCCCTCCTCCTCCTCCTCCTCCTCCTCCTCCTCCTCCTCCTCCTCCTCCTCCTCCTCCTCTTCCTCCGCCTCCTCCTTCTGCTCCTCCTCCTCCTCCCCCTTCTGCTCCTCCCCCACGGGCGCGCGCAGCGAGAGGCGGCGGACGCTCCTCCTTCTCCTCCTGCTGCTGCTCCTCCTGCTCCTCCTCCTGCTCCTGCTCCTGCTCCTCCTCCGTCTCCGTCTCCGTCTCCGTCTCCGTCTCCGTCTCCGTCTCCGTCTCCGTCTCCGTCTCCGTCTCTTTCTCCTCCTCTTTCTCCTCCTCCTCCTCCTCCTCCTCCTCCTCCTCCTCCTCCTCCTCCTCCTCCTCCTCCTCCTCCTCCTCCTCCGTCTCCTCCCCCCTCCTTCTCACGTCCCAACGTCTGGGGGCACGTCCGGGGGACGGCTGCCCCGAGAAACGGGGGCGGGGAGCGCTCGCGCGGGCGTCTGGGCCTCTCGCGGGCGCCTTCGGGGGCCCCCTGGGGCAATCCTGAAGAGAGACACAGGAGGAAGAGGAGAGAGGGAGAGCGAGAGAGAGCGAGAGAGAGGGGGGGAGAGGGGCACGAGGGGGCAGGAGGAGGACGTGCGCCGGAGCCCATCCAGGTCCACAGAAGCCAGCGGAGACCAGGGGAGATCGCTGAACGAGAGCAGGATCCCTCTGGCCCCGCACGCTTCGCACGTGGCGCCCTGCGACGCGCGAGGTGCGGCGGCCTCCGCGCCGGTCTCCGCCGCGGTCCTGGTCTTCGCGCCCGACGCCGCACGAAGCGCGAGACGCGGTGGTATGGGCGCTCTCGCGCCGCGGCCACGGTTGAGGGAGAGCCCAGGCTCCCCTCCCAAGGGGGATGTTTGATTGGTCCGCTGCCCGAGGTCCGACTCGATGCTCCCAGAAACCTCGCAATTGAGCAGGGACCGACCGTCCCGGCAATCCTATAGTCCTACCACGAAATGTTCTGAGAACCCGAACATGTTCTAACAATGACCCTGTTTGGAGGAGGGCGAAACCTTTCGGAAAACGGGCGCTCTGGAGTCTGGAGGCGCGGGGGCTTCGCACGTCGGGGACGAACAGCGAATGGCCAGCGCCGAGTGCGCTGGCCACTCACCGCAGGCGGCCGTGCCTGGCTTCGTCGGCGCCAACTGTGTCGCTGGGTCAAGGCTCGGGGGGTCGCGCCCCCGCGGGGCCGAGCGCCTGCCGTTCCCCGGCAGGGCGCTGTGCACGGCGCGGGCCGTCGCAGGGCAGACGGCACCCTACGGGGCGGGGCCGTTGGGCCTGCCGTTCCGCGACGGGGCGCCGCACAGGGCGCGGCGCGGCGCGACGATGACATTCGATCGCTGCCTTGGCAAGTTGCCGATCTCATTGCGCGGATACTTCGGCTTGCGGGGCGGCGCTTGGTGTTCCGTTCCCGCACAGCCAGACAATCAAACAAATGGCCGGCTGGCGGCGCCTACTGTTCCGCCGGCGTGGTTGTCGTCCGACAAGCCAGCGGCGCCAATTGTTCCGCTGGCCAGTGGCGTTGTTGGTGGTTGAACTACCAACGGAGGCCCGTGCTTTTGTAATGCCACGTCTAGCATGGCGTTGCGTGCTGTGCTTGCGCCATAGCGAGACCGTGTGGGCCAGCGGCGCCTACTGTTCAGCTGGCTAGCGTGGTTCCGTTGGTGGTGTCTATTGTCCCACCAGCGGCCGAACGCCCATCCATCGGGTAGAATAGCCGGCCGGCAACGCCTATTGTTCCGCCGGCATGGTTTTCGTCCGACAGGTCAGCGGCGCCTAATGTTCCGTTGGCCAGTGACTCTGTTGGTGGTGCCTATTGTCCCAGCAACGGAGGCCCGGGCATAATTTGGACATTCCCCGTCTGGCATGGCGTTGCGTGTTGGGCTTGCGCCCAGGCGCGACCTGGCTTGCCAGCGGCGCCTATTGTTCCGCTGGCTAGTGTGGTTCCGCTGGTGGTGCCTATTGTCCCACTGTCGGCCGCACGCCCATCCATCGGGCAAGAAAAATCAGGCTGGCGGCGCCTATTGTTCCGCCAGCGTGGTCTTCGTCCGACAGGCCAGCGGCGCCCGCTGTTCCGCTGGCCAGTGGCTCTGTGCGTGGTGTTTATTGACCTACCAACAGAGGCCCGTGCCTCTGGACATTTCACGTCTAGCATGGCATTGCGTGCTGGGCCTGCGCCCGGGCGCGATCTTCTGGCCAGCGGTGCGCGTTGTTCCGCTGGCCAGCTGTTCTGCGGGCGGTGCCGATCGTCCCGCCTGTAGCCGCGCGCCCCGGCAATCGGGCACGCTAGTCGGCCGGCGGCGCCTACTGTTCCGCCGGCGCAGCGGCGGTCGACAGGTCAGCCGCGCCCGCTGTTCCGCTGTCCAGTGGCTCTGTTGGTGGTGCCATAGCCACATCAGTTGACGCCCCCGTGTGGGGGCATTCGGCGCCAATGTGCGCTGTGTAGTCCGCATAGGCGGCCCATGCAACCAGCGGCGCCTATTGCTCTGGTGGCCTGGCCCCAACGGTGGTACCTACGGTCCAACTGGTGGGCGCCGGTGGCACTGGTCTGTTCGTCGTCCACAACGGCCAGCGCACTTGCCAGCGCCCAAACGTGGATGTTCCAGCCATCAGCGCCACGTGTTCTGCTGGCTGGGCCCTCCTGGTGGCAGCTGCCGCCCCGCCACTTGGCGCTGATGCCAATGGAGGGGTTCCGCCTGTCTGGCTCACTCAAAAGTCAAGGTCTTTGCGCGGAGAAGCCGGCCAGCAGCTCTTACTGTTCTGCTGGTTCGGCCCTGCGGGTGGTGTGCATTGCCCCACCAGTGGCCGCAGACGCCCAAGATCTCTCCCCGTGCAATGTCATGTTGCGTGAATGCCATGCGAGCGCGCTCCACGCGAGCAGTGAGTTGTCACCGGGCCCAATGCTCGCCTCGCATGTGCTACACCGTAGAGTCCGATCTGCGTGTCAGCATGTCTTCTGGCCATGGAGGTGACCGTTTACAACGGCTGCTGTTGGAGGTGCGCATGGCGGACGCGCAAGCGGTTTGGGTGGGCGGCGTCAAGGGTTCACGGCTGAATGTCGACCTGCTGAGACCTTGGTGCGTCTGCTGCGTTCCTGCAGCAGTGGTAGCACGGCTGCTGTCTCCAAGGCAACGCGGAGCTCACGCCGCAAACTTTTCCGAACCATCCTTCGCTGGCTCAACACGCCCGCCTGGCCGATCTGGAGTGGTCCCTTTTGGAGCGGTTGGGGAAGCTCGAATTTCTACCAGACGCCACTCGCCCTGCCAAGTTGCACGTCAACCCGGGTGCTGCCGTCGTGAAGCCCAAAGCGGGTGCAAGTACCAACGCACCAGAACAGGAGAGAGTCAAGGTTCGAATTATCATGCACCTGTCTCAATGCCTGATCTCCCCTGTGAACTACGGCACCGTGGATCTCGCTGTATTACGGATGTCCCCGCGGAGCTGCCTGTAAGTGGTGGACTTGGCGGATGTATTTTGTAACTGGCGCGTCCTGCCGTCGGACTTGTGGTGGCTGGGATTTTGGTCCCCAGAAAGACAGCAGTATGGCCGGCACACGTTTCTGCCATTTGGATTAAAAACAGCACCGTCGATCAATGATTCCAGTTCGAAGGAGGTGCTCAGGTTGTTGCAGATGCACGAGAGCGCTGTGCTGACTGATTTTGTGGACGACAATTTTGGGTCACAATCTACCCAGGAAGACGCGCGGCTTGAGCTGGAGCGCGTCGTTCACTTCTTTCTCAAAGTAGGCATTCCGGTGTCTGTGAAAGAAGGTGGTATCCGGCCGCCCTCCCAAATCCAGACTTGGGTTGGTTGGGTGTTCGATACGGTGAACAACGCGGTATCGGTCATACGCAAGAAATGCGACAAATGCCAGACATTGATACAAGACGTCCTGCATGCGGACTCGAACTAAACATTGCTGGTGCGCGACCTCGCCGCCGCCGCCGGTCTAGCCAACCACATCGCGGAGGTGTTTTTGATAGGCAGGCGGCGACTGCACCATGTGTGGGCGTCTCTGAACGCAGCCAACGTGCACACACTGTGGGCCCGCCGCCCTGCGGCTAACCCAGACGCGCGCCTGAGCGCCAACGCGCGCGACGCCTTGGCATGGTGGCACCGCGCCCTCGACCTCACCCCGGAGCGATCGTTGCACGGCGAAGCCGGTCATCTTTCGCTGTGGGGTCCCAAATCACCAGAATTCCATGACTGGCGTCGTCTGGCTACCGCAAGTTGCCTCCGCGTCATTGAAACAGACGCCAGCAAATTGCACGGGTGGTCTTACAATCTGTTCAGCGCCGGGGTAGTAAAGTCCGGCGTTTGGCTGGCAGGATTTGCTGATCTTACGCCGATTGGCCGGCAAGATTCGCTGATTGGCCGGCCGATTGGCCGGCGTTTGGCCGGCAGGATTCACTCCCCCCCCGCAGTTCTTTTCTGAGGAACTGGGACTGCCCGCGGAGCTGGCGGCTATGTGGTCGCCGTTGCCTCCGACTAGTCGCCGCATTGCATTGCAATCGCACTGCATTGCGCTGCAATTGAATTTCATTGCACTGCAATCACACTGCATTGCATTGAACCGCGTAGCTCACATCACACATATTCCACATATTAGCTTGTACCACTTAGAATGCACTACATAACCACATAGATCTCACCAAATGGATTGCACCACATATATTGCACAGCTCACACCCATAGATCTGAACATACAGATAGCACCTCATAGCTTACATCTCATTGTCCACACCACCTAGATGAGCAAATTGGCTCCACACAGCTTGCACACCAAAGCTTGCACCAAACAACTCAACTCATATGGATCGCACTGCAAGAACTGCACTACGTAGCTCAGGCCCAATGTATCGCACCACGTAGGTTGCACCACATAGCTTACACCACATAGCATGCAGCACATAGCTTACACCACATATATTGCACCACGTAGATGTTACCACCCAGTATGCCACATACCGCTCTTGGGAGGTCCTCGCTGGCTAAAATCGAGTTGATGCAGTTGCCGTGGTGCTAACGATATCGCTCGGTGGTTCTCCCACCTCGGGGGTGACTCATTCATGTTTTGGAGTGCTACGGATAAAGCCAGGGGGATCGATACTTGCTTCCACTCTGTATGCGTGCGGAGGAAGGGGTGACAGAGAGAGAGAGAGAGAGAGAGAAAAAAAGAGAGAGAGAGAGAGAGAGATAGAGAGAGAGCGAGAAAGAGGAAGCGAGAGAGAGAGAGAGAGAGAGAGAGAAAGAGAGAAAGAGAGAGAGAGGAAGGAGAGGAGAGGACAGGAGGAGGCGGCAGGAGGAGGGAGGCGGAGCTCGAGGAGCACAGGCATGGGCGACCGGGAGCGGGACCCACGAGCCTCAGAGAGCGCCGCCTCCGAGCGCCTGACGCAGGCCGTGTACGCCGTGTACCTTGCGGCGGCCAGACAGCGATGCACCGCTCGCCCTGCTCAAACGGGAAGCAGAAGCCACTGCTGCGAGGGGAGCAGGGGTGAGGAGGCAACTCGTGGGAGATCGTGGGAGGTCCTCGTCAGAACGGCCATAAGGGCTACGAGGCTCGATCCGGGTGCCATTGGGCCGGATCACAGTGGATTGAGACCGATATTCGAGCCGGTCTCCGACCGCGGAAGCACCAGCGCAGACTCTGCATGTCACGTCCACGGGGCCGCATCCTGGACGCGGGGAGGGGCAGGGGGCTCCTCGGAGGCGGCATGCCCGAGCGCCACCCAAGACCAGAGGAGGCTCAGGCGCGCCACGGCCCGGGGTGCTGGGGTGTGGGCCCCCCGACGGGTCCTCGGTGGCGGTGGCCCCTGCTCCGCCTCTGAGGTGCAGCGTGACACAAAAAAACGGGCCCTGGAGGATGTGGAGGCCTGCTGGGACTGCCCAGGGGAACTGTGCGTGCACAGCCTGGAGCCTTATCGAACAGGTTGTTTTCACCAGCCTCGAGCGTACCCCGAGCCCTAAGATTGACAAGCCCGCACGCGATGACCATCTCATGGATGCGGCATCAGAAGCTGAGGGAATCCTGACCGTAGCACCCCGCAGATGCGGATAAGAGTGAGGGTGCGGTGGGGACGTCGGCAGTTTGCAAGTCTCTGGAAAAGCCCACACCAGGAGCCACAGTTTCACAACTTATACAACGAGCCCGCCGCAGGCGCCAATTTTTTCGTTAAACCGATGTGGGTAGGTCGCGGGTGGATCGCTGGTGGGTCGCAAATGGGTCGCGGGTGAGTCGCGCGTGAGTCGTTGGGTCGCGGGGTGGGTCGCGCGGATCGCGGGGTGGGTCGCGGTTGGGTCGCGGGTGGGTCGCGGGGTGGGTCGCGGGTGGGTCGCGGGTGGGTCGCGGGTGGAGGGGTGGGTCGCGGGTGGGTCGCGGGTGGGTCACGGGTTGGGTCGCAGTTGGGTCGCGGGTTGGGTCGCGGGTTGGGTCGTGGGGTGGGTCGTGGGCTGGGTCGCGTGGTGGGTCGCGGGGTGGGTCGCGGGGTGGGTCGCGGGTGGGTCGCGGGTGGGACGACGACAACACATAAAACAAATGACAACAACAACAACAGCCACAACAACAACATCAACAACACCAACAACAGCAACAACACCAACACCAACACCATCACCAACTACAACAACACCACCACCAACAACAGCAGCAGCAACAGCAGCAGCAACAGCAACAACACCAACGACAGACACACCACCAACAAAAACAACACCAATAATACCAACAACGTCAATGACAACAACAGCACCAACAACAGCAACGACAACAACAAGCACAGCAAAGACGACAATAGCAACAACATCAACGACACACATGACAACATTAACAACACCATCAGCACAACACCACCACAAACAACAACACATACACCAACACATACACCACCACCAACAACAACACCAACAACAACAAGAAGCACAACAACGTCAACAACAACCACAACCACACCGACAACACCAATAACAACAACGCAACAAGCATACTCCTCACCACGGATCCTCACTTCAGCCACGCACCCAGGAACGATGAATGACCGTTCGGCCCCCTCACTCTGACGATCGGCGTCGGGATGAACACTGATCACTGAACACTCCCGCACATGTGCAGCGTCTAGGGTGCGGCGGGTGCCGCACTGGAGCGCTGGCATTCTGGACACGTCGCGCGGGCCGTTCGTTTCTCATCTGTGGAACGCTGCGCCCTCCTCAGGATTGGATTGCCGGATTGGCCTCGAGATGAGGCGATGCCAATCCTAGGGATAGCGACGTGCTCCAGGCTGGCAGTTGCTTCTGAGCACTCCTGGGGGCCCTCCGCGGGCACCAAGGCCGTCAGAAGACGACCCGGGACTAGGGGGCGGCTCCCGGGCGGGGGAGAGGCTCCGGGGCGGCCCCTTCTGCCTTCACGGCCAGAGACGCTCCGCAGAGCCTCGCCAGAAGCCAGAGGGGAAGGAGGAGGAGGAGGAGGAGGAGGAGGAGGAGGAGGAGGAGGAGGAGGAGGAGGAGGAGGAGGAGGGATGAGGATGAGGAGGATGAGGAGGATGAGGAGGATGAGGATGATTGAGGAGATGAGATGAGGAGGAGAGGAGGAGGAGGAGAGGGAGGAGGAGGATGTGGTGGTGGTGGACGAGGACTATGAGGATGAAAGGATGGTGAGGAGGAGGAGGATAAGGTGAGTGAGGAGGAGGAGGAGGATGAGGATGAGGAGGGGGAGGAGGAGGAGGAGGAGGACAGAGGAGTAGGAGGAGGAGGGAGAGGAGGAGGAAAAGAGGACGATGGGGAGGAGGAGAACCCAAAACGGTACGGTGCCAGGACCTTCCGGCGACCTCGAACCCCCACAAATACCTCACGGCACGATCCGTGGCCGCACAGCCTTGGGATCATTGGAGGCCCCAGGGGCCCGAGGCCTCGGCGGAGACCGACCCGAGCCCCGAGAGACTCGCCCGACGGCGTGGAATCACCGCACCGTCGCCAGGACTTCCGGCAGACCTCGGAGGGTCCCATCGCAGGGCCTCCCCTTCCTCCTCCTCCTCCTCCTCCTCCTCCACCTCCTCCTCCTCCTCCCTCCTCCTCCTTTCCACCCCCTCCTCCCCCTCCTCCCCCCTCCTCCCCCCTCCTCCTCCTCCTCCTCCTCTCTCCTCCTCCATCCTCCTCCTCCTCCTCCTCCTCCCCCTCCTCCTCCTCCCCCCTCCTCCTCCACCTCCTCCCCTCCTCCTCCTCCTCTCCTCCTCCTCCTCCCCTTCCTCCTCCTCCTCCTCCTCCTCCTCGTGGGACGCACGGGGGTGCCTCGGCGGGCCGCCCGGGCCCTGGCCGTCCCGCGACCCTGCCGGTGCGCCCCGGCCTCCGCCCCGGCGGGGCGGCCGCAGCCGCTGCAGCGGCCCCGCCTCGCGCTCTCGCCGTCGCGCGGGGCCGCCGCGCCCGGCGGGGGGGGGGCCTCGCGCGCCTGACGGCGAGAGCTGCGACGTCCCTGGACTCCTCGAGCGCGTTTCTTTGTGTTCGGCGATCGTGGGCATTGTGGAGGGGGGGATGGGGCGGGAGGGGGGTATGATGTAACGCCTCCCCCCCCGCCGTGTGCCCGATGCGCACGGCGGCAGCGCCCGGAGCGCCCTGGGGGGGGAGGGGCGCTACGTCACAGGGGAGGGGGAGGGGTGGGAGGGGACTATAACGCCCACTATGCCCCAAGCAAGAAAGAAACTCGCTCCTCGTCTCACAGGGTCGCTGAAGGCACCGGCCGAGGGGGCAAGTTACGACCCAGGAAGCCTGGGCGGACCTCCGACGGCTCATGCGCGTGCGGGTTCTCCTCCCCGACCCGTGCGGGAGGCCACCGCCATCAGCGCCGGCAACTGCAGCGGGCGCGGGGTGCGCAGGGCCGCCGCTGCGCGACGGGCGGTGGCGGACTGCTGGTCCTGGTGGGGCGAGCCACTGCGCTGAGCTCGCCTCCTCCGCCATCCCGCACCAGCTCGCAGGCGTGCCTTTCCCGGCACCGGGCGGCCGCACCAAAGCTTGCCCGCACAGGGGGGCCCCACGCGCAGCTACCACTGGAGGCACGCCGAACCCGCGGCATCAGCGCTCGCGGCGCCACCCGGGGCGGCCGCGGGCGGCACGGGGCAGTCAGCACCGCCACGGGCGGTCCAGACGCTGAAGCCCTCGGCCTCCTGCTTCCTCGGCCTCATTGCTCCTCAGTCCGTTCGCCAGGACCTCCAGGATCGGAAGCAAGCCAACTCCCCCGCCCCGCCCCCCCCAATTGGGCGGGCTCGACGGGAGCGAAACGCAACGAATCTGCTATTTACTGCAACTTCTCGCGCTGCTACTCTTAAGTCGGGCGTGTCCCCCTACAGGGGGGTTTTCGACGAGAAAACATGAATAGTTGAAAATTAGCCTGACGAAAGACCCAACCATACGTAGTTGTGAATACCGCAATTGTAAATATATTCCTCGGTGGCGCTCCCTATGGGGTCACGAACCGCATGAAGGGCGTGCCGAAATGTGTGGCGGGGTGTGCCAGAATTGGGGGTGGAACCGCATGCGAGCGCAGCCACTGGGGCCTTCGGTGGAGCTCCCTATGGGGCCACGAAACGTGTGAGGGGTGTGCCAGAATTGGGGGTGGAACCGCATGCGAGCGCACCCACTGGGGCCTTCGGTGGAGCTCCCTATGGAGCCACGAAACGTGTGAGGGGTGTGCCGAAATGGGGGGTGGAACCGCATGCGAGCGCAGCCACTGGGGCGTTCGGTGGAGCTCCCTGTGGGGCCACGAAACGTGTGAGGGGTGTGCCGAAAAGAGGGGTGGAACCGCATGCGAGCGCAGACGCTGGGGCCTTCGGTGGAGCTCCTATGGGGCCACGAAACGTGTGAGGGGTGTGCCGAAATAGGGGGGTGGAACCGCATGCGAGCGCAGCCACTGGGGCCGTTCGGTGGAGCTCCCTATGGGGCCACGAAACGTGTGAGGGGTGTGCCAGAATGGGGGGTGGAACCGCATGCGAGCGCAGCCACTGGGGCGTTCGGTGGAGCTCCCTATGGGGCCACGAAACGTGTGAGGGGTGTGGAAATGGGGGTGGAACCGCATGCGAGCGCAGCCACTGGGGCCTTCGGTGGAGCTCCCTATGGGGCCACGAAACGTGTGAGGGGTGTGCCGAAATGGGGGGTGGAACCGCATGCGAGCGCAGCCACTGGGGCGTTCGGTGGAGCTCTCTATGGGGACACGAAACGAGTGAGGGGTGTGCGACAATGGGGGGTGGAACCGCATGCGAGCGCAGCCACTGGGGCGTTCGGTGGAGCTCCCCATGGGCCAGAAAGCGTGTGAGGGGTGTGCCAGAATTGGGGAGTGGACACCGCATGCGAGCGCAGCCACTGGGGAGTTCTTGGAGAATCCCCTATGGGGACAGACACGAAACGTGTGAGGGATGTGGCACTGGCGCGTTTTCGGAACCGCATGCGGGCGCAGCCACTGGGGCCTTCGGTGGAGCTCCCTATGGGGCCACGAAACGTGTGAGGGGGTGTGCCAGAATGGGGGGTGGAACCGCATGCGGGCGCAGCCACTGGGGCCTTCGGTGGAGCTCCCTATGGGGCCACGAAACGTGTGAGGGGTGTGCCAGAATGGGGGGTGGAACCGCATGCGAGCGCAGCCACTGGGGCGTTCGGTGGAGCTCCCTATGGGGCCACGAAACGTATGAGGGGTGTGCCGAAATGGGGGGTGGAACCGCATGCGAGCGCAGCCACTGGGGCGTTCGGTGGAGCTCCCTATGGGGCCACGAAACGTGTGAGGGGTGTGCCGAAATGGGGGGTGGAACCGCATGCGAGCGCAGCCACTGGGGTGTTCGGTGGAGCTCCCTGTGGGGCCACGAAACGTGTGAGGGGTGTGCCGAAAAGAGGGGTGGAACCGCATGCGAGCGCAGACGCTGGGGCCTTCGGTGGAGCTCTCTATGGGGCCACGAAACGAGTGAGGGGTGTGCCGAAATGGGGGGGTGGAACCGCATGCGAGCG